GTCTAATAGAGTTGTTTTCCATGGCCAGCAATTGCAGAAACCGTATCACACCCTGTGAAGGTGTGACAGAAGAGCAGGTAGGCCTTCTGTGTGTCAGAGACATTCTTCTTAACAACATCAGATGGGTCTTATGACGTCCGAAAGATCCAAGAATCTCTCTAATAATAATTGTAGTTATGTTTCACATTATACTTGACACAAACCTGGTCTGTGGAGGGGTGTGGATGAGTACATGGAGATCTTCCTTGACACAGAAGCCACCAAGGAGGGAGTGGTTCAGGCTGGTGCTGTGATTTTCCAGCACATTTGTCATGGACCAGATACTACATTGGGTGAAATTTGGTACAACATGTTCTCAACTAAGCAGCAGCAGGAGTAATCAAACCAGAGATTCTACCTTCAATGGAGGGTGCAGCTGCTCAGCATTCACTCTGTGCCTACCTGCAGACCAGGACTGGATCCTTCTACAGAGCAGGTCTCTGAAGCCCAGTGACTATAGATGGACATTAGGTGTGCATGGGTATGAGCCAGTTCCAACACTAGACCCCATGGCTCCTGAGGAGCTACTGAAGTTCATGAGTTGTAATTGTCATGGAGGGTGCAGCAAAACCTCCTTCTAGGACAGCAGCTTAGAATGTTATTGCTAATTCACCTGTCCAATAGTCCTCTAATTAAACAACTCATTGTTCAGTGTAGAAAATAGTAAAAATGTAGACAAGTTCACAAGCGTAAGGTGAAGTCCTCAAAAAGTCGTTGAACGTACAGTGATATTTTAAAAAAGGAATTTCACCAGATTTTATTATTCCAAAAGATTTATCTGGAGAATGTTCGACTTTAAAAAAAAAAAAAAAAAGTCCTAGACTGTTGTTTTGAAGATCCCACCTTAGAAAAAAACATCCTCAAACCCAGTCAGTGCCAGCTATAAAATTGTAATGAACAACCTTGGAGTCAGAGAAGCTGGGGGGGGATTTTAATTACAATACATGTACTTATGCTTATCACCAGGACAGAGTGAGACTTGAACAACTCCAGCAAAAATTGACGTTTTTACTTCCATCTGATCCCAACTGTAAATTAGAGAGTAGATGCAGCTCCTCCGACAGAAATCANATGAAGCTCTTTGTCCCTGTGTGCATTTGCAAACTGTAATCTGCTTTTTTATGTTGCTTTTAGAGTAATGTCTTCTTCCTCTCTGAGTAGACTTTCAGCCCATGTCGGTGCAGGACTGGTTCCGCTGTGGATAATGACTCTCTGACCAGCTTCAGCAGCATCTTCACAAGGTCTTTTGCTTTTGTTCTGGGGTTGATTTGCACATTTCACACCAAAACACTTCATCTCTGGGACACAGAACCCGTCTCCTTCCTGAGCAGTATGATGGCTGGACAAGTGTATAGACTGTATTCAACTGTAGATAGATAGATAGATAGATAGATAGATAGATAGATAGATAGATAGATAGATAAAGTACATCCAGTGTGCAGTCATGTGCAAACTACTCACCTGAGAACAATAATAAAATGAACTTTGTTTCATTTGGCGGTCAAACAGGAAGAAGAAGGATCAGAGAAGCAAAAGTTGAGCAGTACCAGGTGTTAAAAAGGGTAAAAGATTAAGAAACTACATTAATATAAAAGTACCAGTGGATACAAATAAAAAACTAAAGGGCCATATCAAAATTAAAAAAAAAAAAAAAAAGTAGAATAAAAGATAATACAGAGTAAAATTATAAAAACAACATTAATATTGTTATTACTATTATTAATGCCTCTGTATTAAGTTAGTTTTATTGTTTTTCAGTCAGTCTCTTGTTTTTCACTGTGAAGGACTTTGGTCTACTTTTGGGCTGTTGTCATATAAATAAACTATGATTGATTGATTGATTGATTATTATTCTACAATTCTGTAAATTATACATACATATACATTATGTTGTTGTTATTACTAGTAGTAGTGGTATTGATGATGATAATAATAATAATAATATAAAATTAATAGTAAATCAATTAAATAAATAAGTAAATAAATAAGGGTAAATGAAAGAGAATAAAATAGACAAATTGAATAGATGGTATCACATAAACGCAAGTCTAAAAAATTTTGTTTTAAGATGTGAATGTGAAAGATTATACTGTACTTTTTTTTCAACTCTCACTGTAATATATCACTGCTGTAAGCGGGGAAACGACGACCAACAACATTTCAGCAGCTTTGTGTGTCTACCTGTAACTCAGCTGATCCGCCTCTACCTACAAGTGACGCGTGTCTCTGACCCGCACAGCACGCGCCTCCTCCTCCCCCTGCCCCTCCTCCTCCTGTCCGCTCCGTGGAGGTGGACTCCTTCCTGTCCGTCCGTCCAATCAGCTGCCGGCTTTCCTGGAAGTCTGCAGCTCCGTCCTCAAACAAACCGTGTCAGTCAAAGTTAAAGTTGTGGCGTGGACTCTCAGCGCGACGACAGCGAAAACTTTTGCCAGCTTTGTTTTTTCTTTTCCCTACCGAGGAGGAAGTTGCTTGGAGGGGGGGACACACTCACATGATGTCTCCGGGCGGCTGGACGTGACCGTTATGGAAACTTCGTGGAGCTCCACGGGACCCCGCCGCCGCGTCTCTTGACTTGACGCCGCCGACCAGCGCCGCTGCTCCGGGTTAGTGTCTGTAGCATGCCACGCAGGCAGCTAACTTCTCCCAAAGCTACAAAGAAAAAAAAGTTTGCCCTGCGACCGACGAGCAGCCGCCTCAGTATGACTCTCTGACGTGTTCTGTTTACTAGTTAGTTATCGTGAAAACGGCGAGAATGATGAAGGCTCGGAGGTACTTGCGGGGCAGTGGGAGGGTCCTGGCGTTCGTGTTCGTCGCCTCCGTCGTGTGGCTGCTGTTTGACATGGCCGCACTCCGGCTGTCCATAAACGACGCCAACAGTCAGCTGCTCAAAGAGCGAGTGATACGAGAAAGAGAGATCTTCAAGCAGCAGAGCAAAGTGACTCAGCTCATGAAGAGGGGCTTCAGGCACCCGGTGCAGAGGGTGGACTGGGCGGTCACACCGGCCGGGAAGGGACCACTGAGCTCCAGCATCAAACTGGCCCAAGTGTACAGACACAAAGTCAAGCAGCAGGACAAGAAGGTGAAAGGGGAAGTTTTTAAACCTACCAGTGCCCTAAATCATAAAAACACGCCAAAGCCTGCAAGGAAGAAAGCAGTAAACCTGGATCTAAGTCTAACCCAAGTGCCACCAGGTGTTCACGACAACAAGCCAACCTCAAAGATCAATAGAACCGCTCTGCACGGAAAGCATTCAAAGATGGATGACAGAGGTGAACCTGCCAAGACCGGAACAAAAGTGAGCCAGCTTCAGGGCGAGGAGTCACGCCCTGTTAAAACAACACCTCGCCAACCTCCCAACAAGGATGTGAACATAAAGGAGGAAAAAACAGACAAGAGGCGGGTCAGGACTGACAAGAATAATGTCAACGCAGACAGGGAACCCCTGAAGCCTGCAATCAGCGTCAAAGCAGCCGATAACTCCTCCGCTGTCAGAAAACCAGGTGTCCACAAAGTGCTGTATCTGGATGTGACTCACGCTCCTAGAGATCCCAACGCGGTGGGCCAGTTCGGTCATGCGCCGCTGCTCAGCAGCAACGAAGACGCAGAGGTGAGGAGGAGGTGGGACGAAGGCCACTTTAACGTCTACCTCAGTGACCAGATCCCAGTGGACCGAGCCATCCCAGACACCAGGCCCGAGATGTGAGTCTTCCTTCTGCGTGTTTTTGCCCTCTCCAGCTGCTCTGAATGCTGAACTGTTCTTGTGTTGTTTTTTCCAGATGTTCGCAGAACGTGGTCCACGACGACTTGCCCTCCACCAGCGTGATCTTCTGTTTCGTGGACGAGGTGTGGTCCACGCTGCTGCGCTCCGTGCACAGCGTGCTCAACAGGTCTCCACCTCACCTCATCAAGGAGATCATTCTGGTGGATGATTTCAGCACTAGAGGTAACCGTGTCCTGAAGGGTTCAGTAGATGGGGTCGACACGAGGTGATTAAAAATGTTATTAAGGACCAGGAGCCATGATAGGGAGGCCTTTTATTCATATAGGTTGTATAAGATCAGATTTACTGGCATTATCTGGAAAGTATTCATCCAAAATCAAAATCCGATCTACTCCAGTATTACTCATCATAACTGGATAATAATTAGAATTAGGTCCCCCTACATTAAAATGTCCTGCAGATGCTTCTCTAAACTGAGTTTTTAAGAAATAAAAATGTAGATTTTTTCTGTCTTTTTTTATTTATTGATAATAAATGATGGATTATAATAATAATACATTTATTTTGTACAGCGCTTTTCAAGGCGATCAAAGTCACTTAACAGGGTATAAGATAAAAGCAGGAGCAAAACAAGTTGAATAAAAAGCAGATTAAAGCAGTGTAGGAAGGGAAGCATATGAATATCTGCCAACTAAATCGTTACATAACTACAATTATTATTATTTTTAATATTTTTACGATGATGACGATAATGATGATGACGATGATTGTTTGTCGAAGTAATAGCAATGTCATCATCATTACCTGTCTAATAGAGTTGTTTTCCATGGCCAGCAATTGCAGAAACCGTATCACACCCTGTGAAGGTGTGACAGAAGAGCAGGTAGGCCTTCTGTGTGTCNTCAATTATGTCAATTTAACCCAAATTCATGATTTTAAAACAACTTTTTATTCACTAAACATAATGTGAATGTGGCACATAGGCTCTAACTAGTACACCTGGTATTGTTTTAGACAATTTATCACTATTATAACAATAAATTCTTATAGATCAGATCAACTGAATATGCTGTTTGACGACAGCAACCCGTACACTTCAGCTCAGACACAGTAGTACATCAAGTTGAACAGCATTTTAAGGTGCGGCACACAGGAGGGACCTGCTTAAGACAGTGGAATTTCAATAACACCGAATTGCAGGCCACTCCTTAATAAACGATAAAAGAAACAAAACAATTACGTAAGAGTCCCATCTAAATCAATGTCAAATTGTGCGTTTAGCATACTCTCTAGATGCAGTAATAGGACAATCTGGCTGGTAATTTTCAAATGAAAAGTCAAGGTGTTGCACAGACTGAGTTGCCCTGTTAACTTAAAGACAATTTAATGCAATGTTCTTCACTCTGAAGACACTTTTTTTTTTTTTTAAAAGAATGTCAAATCAAAGTACACTAGGTTGCTTTTTTTTTTTTTTTTTTTTAAAAAGGTTATTCACATCACATGGTCCTCATATACACACTGCTTCAGTTGCCATGGAAATGTAGCTGGCTGAACTTTAATGACTCTGAGCCCCTCAGACTTTCACTTCATCTAATTCTGGAGCTTGTCAGAAGTTTTGACCTCAGAAACAGCTGTGGAGCTTTCAGCTGCATCATACTGTAGCTGACAGCAGGGCGTTTCAATAATGATTCCCAACAAGGAAACAACTTGGACTAAAGGCACTAGGAGTCAGGTTTGAACATCTGTCTCCATGGGGATCTACAAATGAAGCCCGTGTGATTTGTCCAGAAACTCCAGAGGAGTGTGTCGACCTTGAGCTGATGTTAATTTTCCAAAAACTTTTAAACAGCAGTTGGGAAAAAATCTTACTGCAAGGTTTCTTTGGTGGCTATTCTGGATCAACTGCAGATGTTCAAATGAAGGATGTGATCAGTATGTAAAATATGCGACCCTCTTACTGTGAGGCAACAGTGCTAACCACTGCCCCTCCTTGCAGCCCACCACAGGGCATGTCTCCAAAAATGAAGCTCTTTGTCCCTGTGTGCATTTGCAAACTGTAATCTGCTTTTTTATGTTGCTTTTAGAGTAATGTCTTCTTCCTCTCTGAGTAGACTT